TTTATTATTGTTATATTTATTATTATATTATTTATTATTATATTTTTTAAAAGAATTCTGATCTTTTTTTAAAAGAACTTTATTTGTTATATTTATTATTATACTTTTTAAAAGAATTCTAACCTATTTTTAAAAGAACTTTATTTGTTATATTTATTATTATATTTTTTAAAAAAATTCTAATCTTTTTCTAAAAGATTCTAAAGATTTCAATTTTTAAAAGAAGAACGTTCGAAACGAGTATCGAGATATAAAAAAAGAAAAATTCGATGCCATCAAATTAATATAATTGCCATAAAATGTTTTACACCTCTATGAAATTTTTCTTCGAAACCATTCTTATCTCTGACTCACTTATACTTTTATATTTAAATTTTATGTCGTTCTTTGTACAATAGATATCTTTTATATATATATTTAAAAATAATGTTCCTAAACGATTAGATAAAATGAAATGAAATAATTATACAAAAATTTTGCTTTTTACGATAATGATAAATGTAATTATCGCGTTTGAATAATTCATACGATATTGATTTATATTTTCAGGAAAGAGTGCAAGCTAAGGATCCACCATCCCATTATTTAGCAAAATTACGTACCTATCTGGATCCAAAAGCTTCGCGAAGCCATCGAGTATGTTGCATTTTATTTATTTTTCTTGTACATGCATTTTTTTCCTATTTTTCTCTTTTTTATTTTGCGGCGCGAATTAAAATATACTAATATTTCGGGAGAATCACATTTTGCAAATAATTTCAAAAAATCGAATCGATTACTATACAAAAATATCTTTTTGTAATTGTGTGATTCTCTTAATTCAACTTGTACTATATATTAGGATGGTACTTATTACAAATGATTAATGCTTTTAGTGCTTAAATTTAATCGATCAATTTAATCTTAATCTATTCGTTCATTTTTTTAAAATTATAATTTGTTCCAATCACACTAAATAATAATCGAATAAGTAATTTCAAAATGATGATAGAAATTGTATTGATTGGATTTTATTAATTTTATTAATCGAGATTCTTGAGGGAATAATAATAAAAATTGATATCATTTTTTAAAAAATATTAAAAAAATTTTTTGAAAGATTTTATTTTTCTATTGATTGAATTTAAAAGTGAACTTTCTATGAATTATAATATCGAAATATTTGCCGTCCTAATGTGTACGTACTTGATGTACGTATTCGTCTGACATATGTTTAATTTTCGACTACAAAAAGATCGTTTATTTTTTGTTCGTTTTTCGCGTCCAAAAAAATTTGAACAACGGATACTAATGATTATACAGTCGTATCGTTTTCTCGCATTCTTCCAGAAGAGGAAAATGGTTGGAGAGTCAACGTCGACTCAAGTATTACGGGATTTGGAAATTTCCTTACGCACAAATCATATAGAGTAAGCTATCTTACATATGTCATAAATAATACATATCATATAATATACAAGTATATTATATTTTAATTACAATTTAATTTTGATTATGATGAAACAAAATAGTATTATCAAGTTAGTAAAAATGATGGTAAAAATATTGAGATAAAGCATATTAAGTTGAATTCATTATTAAAAATTCTTACAATTCTTTACAATTTCTTCTAGAAGGCATAAAAAATATTTTTTGTGCTAATAAGTGATTAACAATAATAAATAGTTATATTCTAATTTGATTGGTTTAGATTAAAAATGATGGTAACAATATTTAAATAAAGTATATTGATTAAATTGGATTCATTATTAAAAATTCTTTACAATTTCTTCTAGAAGGCATAAAAAATATTTTTTCTGCTAATAAATGATTAACAATAATAAATAGTTATATTCTAATTTGATTGGTTTAGATTAAAAATGATGGTAACAATATTTAAATAAAGTATATTGATTAAGTTGGATTCATTATTAAAAATTCTTTATAATTTCTTCTAGAAGGCTTAAAAAATATTTTATTGTGCTAATAAATGATTAACAGTAATAAATAGTTATATTCTAATTTAATTGGTTTAGATTAAAAATGATGGCAATAATATTGAGCTAAAGCATACTAAGTTGGATTTATTATTAAAAATTCTTTACAATTTGTTCTAGAAGGCATAAAAAATATTTTTTGTTAATAAGTGATTAATAATAATAAATAGTTTTACTCTAATTTGATTGGTTTAGATTAAAAATGATGGTAACAATATTTAAATAAAATATTGATTAAGTTGGATTCATTATTAAAAATTCTTTACAACTTGTTCTAGAAGGCATAAAAAATATTTTTTGTTAATAAGTGATTAATAATAATAAATAGTTTTACTCTAATTTGATTGGTTTAGATTAAAAATGATGGCAACAATATTGAGACAAAGCATATTGATTAAGTTGTATTCATTATTAAAAATTCTTTACAATTTCTTCTAGAAGGCATAAAAAATTTTTTGTTAATAAGTGATTAATAATAATAAATAGTTATACTCTAATTTGATTGGTTTAGATTAAAAATGATGGCAACAATATTTAGAAGCATATTGCATATAAAGCATATTGATTAAGTTGGATTCATTATTAAAAATTGTTTACAATTTCTTCTAGAAGGCATAAAAAATATTTTTTGTTAATAAGTGATTAATAATAATAAATAGTTTTACTCTAATTTGATTGGTTTAGATTAAAAATGATGCTAACAATATTTAAATAAAATATTGATTAAGTTGGATTCATTATTAAAAATTCTGGACAACTTCTTCTAAAAGACATAAAAAATATTTTTTGTGCTAATAAGTGATTAACAATAATAAATAGTTTAATTTGATTGGTTTAGATGGGTAAGGGAGTTCCTAGACGAAGAGAACCAGGGTTTGGACGCCCTTATAGACTACCTCAGCTTCAGATTACTCATGATGAGGCACGAACAACGTCTCTTGGAATGTCATGCGAGTTCTGAAGAAAAATTACAAACCGGTAAGAGTTTTATACGCCATTGCATACGTCATCTTTATTGTAACGACATCGTTGAAAGAAATTAAATTGGTAAATTGATGAACTATAAACTATATTTTTCAGTTGGTTCCGGGGATACTTCACCCTTAAATAACGGTTGTCTTAGACCGCCACTCCACGAACTTAAAGATAGTCCTGGCGTTAAAAGAAGATCTCGACACGTGGCGCGACTGAACATGGGCGAAGCGAAAGATGACATTCATGTTTGCATATTATGCATGCGTGCTATCATGAATAATAAGGTACGTAATAAACGATATAAAAATTACGTTCAGTCGTACAAATTTTTTTTTTTTTATTCCTATTTTATTTCACCCCCTTCCTTCTCCATGCATTTTTTAATAATCTTATTTAAAGATATATAATTATAAAATATTTTGTGATCGTTGAAAATTTTTGCTAAAAAAGTATATAACGCATATTAAAAATCAGATTATCTTAGATATTTGCACAAATATTTTACAGTACGGTTTCAACATGGTCATTCAGCATCGTGAGGCAATCAACTGCATCGCGCTCAGTTTGATGCACAAGAGTTTAAGGTAAAAATATATTTTTTTCCCCAATTTCCTATGTAAATGAATATTAATTGAATTATAAGTTATATTGGAAAGAAAAAAAATATATATATATATATTCTGTTTTCAGAACAAAAGCTCTAGTTTTGGAACTTCTCGCTGCTATCTGTTTGGTAAAGGGTGGTCATGAAATTATCCTCTCCGCGTTCGACAACTTCAAGGAAGTTTGCTCGGAGCGACGACGATTTACTACGCTTATGGCATACTTCACCCAATATGATAGTTTTCACATAGAATTCATGGTTGCCTGTATGCAATTCGTAAATATCGTTGTTCATTCGGTAGAAGACATGAATTTCAGGGTTCATTTGCAATATGAGTTTACCAAACTTGGTTTGGACGAGTATCTTGAGAAACTGAGGCATACCGAGAGCGAGGATTTGCAGGTTGGCAGATTTTTTTAATTTTTCGATTTTTTAATATTTTAAATATTGTCGTTGTTAAGTTCAAGCTTTGATTGAAGCCTCGTACACGAAACTTTTATCTAGAAAACTTCAAATTTGCATTAAAAAAAAGATAAGTGAAAAAGATATATAAATAAAGATAAAGACTAAATTTTATCTAAATATATATTAAATACATATATTAAAATCATTTTAGTTTTGTTTATAATTACAATTTTCTTTGTAATTCCATTTTTGCCTAATATATCAGATTATAAATATTTTTTAGTGAAAAATTGTATTCAATGTAGTTGATATCTTTACATTTTGATGATATTGTATCATTTTTTTGCTATTTATTTTTGTTTACTTAACAAAATAAAGATCAAGTTTTATTTTTAAGTAGATTTATATATAATACTCTAGTCTCTAAAACAATATTCAGTATTTTATTTTAATTTGATAAATTTTTTTCTAGGTTCAAATCTCTGCGTATCTAGATAACGTATTTGATGTAGCTGCCTTAATGGAAGACAGTGAAACCAAGACTGCTGCATTAGAAAAAGTAGCTGAATTAGAAGATGAACTTGGTCATGTTAGTTAAATTTAAAAATTTCTATCTATTTTTTACGTTATTTTTTTTGCTAAACAATTATTGTTTCAAAAATAGGCACATGATAGGATGACAGAATTAGAAAGAGAATCGCTTGCAAAATTAGCGGAATTAGAGACTGAATTAGGTGCATTAAAAGTAGAATATGCTGATGCTGTAGAAGCTCGTCGATTGGCTGAAGAAGAATTGACAGCTTTGAAAAGGCAAAAACAAGATTCTGCTCGAAGACAAAGCGTTTTAGAAAATAAAATAATCGAATTAGAAACACTTACTGGCACTCTCACGAAGGGTTCATCGAGTATGTCAAAGATTTTTTTGTATCTTAAATAACTTAACAAAATTTTTATCATTTAATATAACATATTTTTGTAACTTTGAAACTTAAGCAGCCAATCTTCGAAATGGATGCGCTACGAGTCCTGTCAGTAATTCAGATAATGTTACATGCTCTACGCTTAATTCGACTCCGTCTCCTACATTAGAAGAACCTCCACCATCCGCTCCAGCACCACCTCCACCACCTCCACCTCCGTGTCCACCACCACCTCCTATGGCACCTCTTTCTCCCGGAGATCAAAAATTACCGCCACCTGCGCCTATACCTCCACCACCTGCTGGAATGATGCAAGCACCAGATGGAGCAATGACTATTAAACGAAAGGTATGTTTTCTTTTTTTTTTTTTTTTTTTAAAAATTT